ATGAGGGCTCACCTTTTCAAGGCAGCTGAGTTGATCTGCAATGGAAGGAGCTACTTTGCTTCCTCCTCTTCCTTGCACCACCCCTGGCATTCATCTGGTTCGAAGATCATAGAATCATAAATCCCATAGGTTGGAAGGGAACTCAAGGATCATCTGGTCCAACCTTTCTAGGCAAAGCATGACCTAGACTAGATGGTCCAGCACCCTGTCCAGCCCAAACTTAAGATGTAGCATAAGCATATTCTGAATAGAAAATGATGGGCTTTTCTCCCTGAACTGCCTCACTGTGGGGTCAGATGAGTGCCAGAGCTGGTGTAAGGGGAGACGAAGGTGTAGTGGAGGGTGAAGGAAGGAATGTTCCTTCCAGAAGCAGTGATGCTTTACTGCACCATAAAATCACATCCTCCGTTAGTCTCAGCTGACTGCAGAGGAGCTGTGTGGAAACTACATCAGCTGGGATGTGGTTCAAATTAATTAGGAGACGTTTTCTAACGTAAAACACATTGGAAGGAGAAAGCCTGGTGGGTTTTCTGCTGAATGGAATGCTCTAAGCACGTGCTTAGGGCAGCACTGCTTGGTGGCCGGATGCTTTCAAGTGTGTGTCAGGGGATTCTGCTGCAACAGCTTTGCTGCTTTGATTGTATCTTCAGATGCTACTGAAGATGTTGGGATGTGTCCAGTTTGTGTCCTGTCCTTTTTTCTTCCCCTCTAAACTCTGTGTTCATGAGGGAGATGGGATCGGGTGAGCCCAGGACACAAATCTTGCTTTGAAGTTAGCAGTTGCTCAGCTGTAGGCACCCATGGGAGAGACTGCACTTTTAGCATGATTGTAAAGCTTTGGAAGACTCATGATTTCTGGCATTAAACTGAACTAATCAAAATCCTGTTTAAGGCTGTTGGGAGAAAAAACATCCTTATGCTTGTTCTCAAAATGCAACCTCCAAAAGTAATCCCTACTTCTAATTTCGATGCTGAATCATTGCCATGTAGTTAACCTTCTATATTTAGGACTCTCTATCTCTGTCATTTAACCTTTCAAAGAGATAAATGCAACTAAATGTGTGGTGTTGGATTATTTTTTATGTTGTTTTTTAGCATCAGTCCCAGCATCGTCACTTTTCCATCATGTCAGAACCCATCACACTCAATGTTGGAGGAAAACTCTACACCACCTCTCTGTCCACCCTGACTAGCTTTCCAGACTCCATGCTGGGGGCCATGTTTAGTGGGAAGATCCCAACCAAGAAGGACAGCCAAGGCAACTGCTTTATTGACAGAGATGGCAAAATCTTCCGCTACATCCTGAACTTCTTAAGAACTTCTCACTTGGACCTTCCCGAAGACTTCCAGGAAATGGGTTTACTTCGAAGGGAGGTAGATTTTTATCAAATCCAGCCCCTGATTGAAGCCTTGCAGGAGAAGGAGGTGGAGCTGTCTAAAGCAGAGAAAAACGCCATGCTCAACATCACCCTTGATCAGAAGACCCAGACCGTTCACTTCACCGTCCGAGAAGCACCCCAGATCTACAGCCTGTCTTCCTCCAACATGGAAGTGTTCAGCGCTCATATCTTCTCCACGTCATGTCTGTTCCTGAAGCTCCTCGGTTCCAAACTTTACTATTGCTTCAATGGAAACCTCTCTTCAATATCCAGCTACCTGCAGGACCCCAACCATTTGACCTTAGATTGGGTTGCAAGCGTGGAAGGCCTTCCTGAGGAGGAGTACACCAGGCAGAACTTAAAGAGACTCTGGGTGGTGCCAGATAATAAGCAAATCAATAGTTTCCAAGTGTTTGTGGAAGAAGTGCTAAAAATAGCCATGAGTGATGGTTTCTGCATAGATTCTTCTCATCCACATACTTCAGACTTCATGAATAATAAGACTATTCGCCTAATTCGGTACAAGTAGGAATGGCTGTTTCATTATGGTGCCAGCATGGAGATAATGCAGGTTAAGTGTTTCCCTTTAAAACACACTTACAACCTAATTCAGAATCGTGCTTATCTGGATTAAGAGTCACTAACAGGGAGATGGTTTTCCTTTAATGTAATTACCAATATGACCTTTCAGAAGATGTCCATATTCCACATGGAAGGAATATTGTCTAGCGCCTGAATTAAGGACTGGCTTTGCTTCCACCTCTGACCTGTTGTACAATAGTGGGGAAAATCACTTAACTTCTGTCTTTCCTACATTTTCCAGTTGAAAAATGGGAGTGATTCTTAACCTCTATAGCAAGGGGATGTGAGGGTTCGGTAATCAAGGTTTACATGTGTCTGGAGAACCAATGTGGTGAAGGATGCCATGGAGCTGCAGCGCAACAGAGAGCCATGGGAGCACATTTTCCATGTCGTTGCCATATCACCCGTGCAGAGCATCCAAGTAGCTTGGTTGGATCCACAGAGAAGAAGCCACACGCTTCTCATGCAGTACTCAATAAAGCTGTAAAGGATGGTGCAAACTGCAAGTACGGGATCCTGCCTCTTTGGGTTCAACAAAGGATTGCTGTCACCATCTGAAGCTGGCTTGGGATTTTTTCTGATCCCTGTGAGGAAGCGCCTGGTCTCCTTTCAGGGAAGCCACGTTTGAATGATGTGACTGGCATGGGGAACAACCAAGGAAGCCATAGCAGAGAGAATGGTGTTCTCACAAACTGGCTGGTCGGGGACCTGTGCTTTGGGTGCTCTTACACCTTTACTTCTACATTCCAAAGGCATCCAAGACAACTAGTCATTTTCTTTCTCTTACAATGTTAATATTTGTCTGGAGGATGCTGCTGAATCTTTCTGTGGTGGAGACAGACTTGGGGCAGAGCCCCCCAGATATCTTCTAAACATTCGAGCCTTTTCTGCCTGGACATGGCCTTCTTTTTGGGCACATCTCCCATCCCCTGGAGTGCATGGGATGCTCTCTGGGAAAGATGGGTTCCATCTGAAAAGACAACATTCCTACCACAAAACCAGAGGCTCTCTTTTCCTATCCTGGTACACTGAGCCATTTCTTCTACATCACTGTGAAATGGTCAGGCCACTAGGTCAGCATTTCACCTGCTTGCTTGGCTTCAGTATCAGAGTTTTGGAGGTAAGGCAGTGAGAAACCAGAGGTGATGACAATGGTCAAGCTCTTTCCTCCACACCTGGTCTGTGCTGTAATGAAGATCATAATCCTCTAGCTGCATGTTAGCTCTAAACATCATTTGCACCGCATTCAAGGTGGTTCATCGTTAGGTAATTATGCTTAGAAGTACCTTAGCTGTGTTTCCCTAACCAGATTGCTATGTGTGCATGAGAGGCCCTTTGGAACATTTCCCATTATCTCTAATGAGATAGAAGGGAAAATGGAATAACCAAGTTTTGCATTTAGAAGCTTTATTGCTTCCAGAAGTTCTTAGCCCAGGGCTGCAAAGCTCAGTATTGCTCATGTCCTTGTTTCCCAAAGTAACTCGCCTGTCGTTACATCAAGCTGACCTGTGAACAAGCATTAAGAAGCTTTTTGTTACTGGTGTAAAAAAACAGTGAGCTAAATCTATTTTTGCTGTCCCAAGCTGTATCTGCAGGAAGAACACAAAGCAGGATGGTGATGGTAAAAATGCCCATTCTGCAGCTATTGGCAGCCTGTTACAAACCACTGCCCATATCTGACTTGGTGCTAAACCAGCGTGATATACGTGGGACCATGTTGTTAGGAAGCACTGCCTGGGCTTGAAGCCCTCAGAACCATTAAACCTGGCAACTTTGGAGACTTTTAAACAGGATTTTCTGGCCAAATTCCAGCTTGAGTCACTATATTCTTCTAGTTTCAGCTGCATTAGGAAGAGCTCTATTTTCCCCATCCATCCTGAGCTATAAAGCAGGAGTAATCTGTTCCAGGGGTTGCTGTATGCCACTGGCAAAGCACAGTGACCCCTGTGTGAATCATATCTCTAACATGAGTCAGTTGGACATTCATACTGATGATCTGTGCAGGTAATAGGACTATGATCTGTAAAATACCATACACAAACCCTTATTCATTAAATCTAGGCCTTGAAACATATGCCTCTGCTGAATTTATGATCACAGAGCTTTTGGGGACTATTAACAGTATTTCTTTTTAACCCATGCCCTTGAGAGTAGATCCCCTGATCTGTAAACAGGAGTTTTGTATGTCAGGACTAAAATACTACGTATCTGTAGTAATGTATTTCCTGTCAGCTTGAGTTTATCCAAATGTAAGAGCAGTGGGCTTAGATCTCATTGGAAGTGGGGGGAAAAGTCTGTTCTACAGTCTCTAGAGCCCTGAATCAGTACTGCTCCTTTCTGTTTCAGCAAAATAAAAATGTTCCCTAAGAGAGTTGAAGCATTACTGCATTTTCTGGTGAAAGGCAACTAAGAGGAGTCCATAAATTCACTGTGCATAGTTTAATCTACAGCATTTGCTCTTCACCTTTGCACCTACCCCTTTTTCTTTTCTTTGGACGGTAGCAGCACCCAAACTAAAAGCAGTTTTACAGTTTAAAGTCTAAACAAGAAATGAAAAGTGCCCCAACCTGGCCTAGACAGTAACTGGGGTAATACTGCTGACATGGAAATAGGGGTTTCAATCTCCACAAGCTAAGGAGAGAACTGAACCTAGGTCTGCTCCTGGAGTCCTTTAACCCATCAGTCTATTACTGTTAATACACAAAGAGATGCAAAATCTCTCTCTTCTGCATGGAGAGATGCAAAATACCCAGCAATTATAAAGACAGGAGTGAAGACAGGCTTTGGGAGGAATAGAACAACTTGAGATACCTCTAAATTGCTAAGGGGAATAAACATCTTTAACAACTTGAGATACCTCTAAATTGCTAAGGGGAATAAACATCTTTAAGCATGAGATACTATTTATAATGCCACAGTTGTTCTGCTTGATAATTGAGTACATGAAATAAGCAGTAGGTGAATCACTTGCAATTGCAGTCAAACATATGTTACACAAACGCAGTTGCTATTTCAAACTACATACTAAGCTAAATTTGTAGCTGCTGCCTAATTTTGCAGTCTGTGAGTTATGTTATAATGACTGTTTATAGGAATGTTCCCTCTCCAAAGCATTTTGTTGGCTTTTTATCTACATAGCTACCTCTTGTTTACCTTCTTTTTTGGATTTTTTGGAGCTCTAGAGGTGTAACTTAGGATGGTTAGATCATCCAGTTCCAACCCCCCGCTACGGGCAGGGACACCTTCCACTAGAGCAGGTTGCTCCAAGCCCCTGTGTCCAACCTGGCCTTGAACACTGCCAGGGATGGGGCAGCCACAGCTTCTCTGGGCACCCTGTGCTAGAGCCTCAGCACCCTCACAGGGAAGAGCTTCCTTATATCTAACCTGAATCTCCCGTTTCAGTTTGAACCCATCACCCCTTGTCCTATCACTCCAGTCCCTAATGAAGAGTCCCTCCCCAGCATCCTTGTAGCCCCTTCAGACACTGAAGCTGCTCTGAGGTCTCCAACAGCTTCTCTTCTCCAGGCGCAACAGCCCCAATGTTCTCAGCCTGTCTCCATACAGGAGCTGCTCCAGCCCCTGATCATCCTCATGGCCTCCTCTGGACTTGCTCCAACAGCTCCATGTCCTCCTTATGCCAGGGACACCAGAACTATATGCAGTGCTCCAAGTAGCTTGCTTTTGTTTACCTGCCAACAGCATTGATGATTCTTTTTGCACAAGTGTTCCTGAATCGAAGAGAACATGCACAAAGCCACCTTAAGTACAGCACTATCCCATCACTAGGCATGGAAAGCATTTGTTTGGCATTTTTAGCAGTAACATTTACAAAGTATTTCACTGTTGAGTGGAATATTGACTCTCAGAACAAACTGAATGTTTTTCTGTAGGGGTTTGAGAACCAGGAAAGGATCTAGTGAGGTTTTTTCCCTGAAAGTTTGAAGTTCTTCTGTATCTCAGCACGTAACTCCTGTTCTGGTTCTGCCATATGCCCTCAACATCTTCCTCAACACCTTCATGTACAAAATGAGGCCAAGTCCTGCACTTTTTATGTAAATGGATTAGATGCTGAGAGAGCCACTGAATAGAGGGATCAATGGTGCTAGAGCAGAAAAACACCAGTTAGGGGATGAACAAGTTACGAGCTGCAGTCTAATGGCATTTCAGATATGGACACGTGCACAGCAGAGTAGGATTTCTTATGTGATAAAAAGATTATCATGAAGCATCTTAGTGGAGTCCAGAAATAATCCTCTATGTGTTTTTAGTCTTGATAACTCTTAAATAACTAACAATGTCCAGTTATAATGAAGGAACTAAAACCATACATAAATATTAAGACATCCTTGGTTTGTGCAGCTGTTAAGGGTTGGAGGGAGGAGTGTTCATTGCTGCAGGGGATGGTAGGGAAATAAAAGAAATAGGTGTAAAAAGTTAGACCTGAAAGAATTCACATTAAGAAGAAGTCCAGGATTTAGAAAGGAGAGAATAAATAAATCTTGATGTGTTCAGGAATAAATAAACTTGATGTGTTCAGGAATAAAACCACCAAGATAACAACGGAGACAAAGATTTTGCTACAGAAAGATGCTGCAATTAGAATGACTCACTGGTCCTTTCCAATTTTAATCTCCTATTATGCACCTTAAATATTGGTCATGCCAAGAGTGATGCTAATATCTTGTCAGGAGCAGACAGCTTTGCTTCAATTTGCATGTGCTTTAAAACACCAAACATATGTGCTGCTGTAGTTACTGTATTGTAAATGGGTTGCTGAGTATAAATTGCTGCTTGAGTTCGCTGGCAGTAAATACCTGCAATCAATCAGATTTATTCTAGGAAAGGCTGGTGGGGTCCATATATAACATTGACAGGAGTGATAAATAACAGCGTTCAAACAAAGACTGTGGAAAATAAATCTAGGATCTTCTGATACTTCGCAGATAA